ATCTGCAACCGTTTTACTGTAATTCTTCGTCGTCCAGTTCTTCTTTGCAACGGAGATGTGTTGACGCCAATGTTCGATTCTGTTGACTCATTTTTCGGTTGCAGCTTGAACGTTTCGAGGAGGATAGCTAACGGTAGATTCGTTTTTCTTTCTTGCATTATATCGGGTCGTATGCAATGTCGAATTTGATTATCATGACTAATCTACACCGTTCCGCCAACATATACTTCATAGACGACGTTCCCTCCCGAAGTCCAGCGATTCGCTGAGTAGTCTCTGACAAGGACGGCTAAAAATACGTCCAGGGTGACATTTGCTGTTGAACTGTCCTGGTTGGTTTTCATCGCCGGACTGTCTGATTTTTCGGGGGTGCAATGCATCAAACTATGTCTCCACTTTCCTCCCAAACATAAGTTCGGCTGGAGACTTCCCATTAGGCGTACTTGGGTTAAGTGTCGTCCGGTAGTTGGTTAGGAAAGCACCAATGACTTCGTCCGTTGGCCCAATGGTACCAATGGTGACCTTGGGGATGCGTCACTCTCTGCACATGTACTTTTTCCATGTCTGGGCGCGTCCTGACAAGGGGTTTCGTTGGACCCGAGCTGAATAAATACTTGCGAATATTTACTTTGACGGGAGTAAAATTGTCTCATATTGATGAGAGGGTACCTGACAATGAGACGCGTCTGGGTTTATCAATGGTGTATTTCAACACCCGTTTCACCAGTGAAATAATCTTGTTTGATGTTTGTTTGAGGTGACCCCTTTGTATGTTCACCTTTAACTTGCAAAAACAGGCTTCATAGCCTTAGTAGGCTTTCCGCATACTCTGGAGCTCTTTCTGTGGAAAAGGCTGCTCTTAGGTTGGAATTTCCTTCGTGATCCATTGCTTTTCACTCCACTCTTTAGTCTGTGCGCTCGATTATAACGTGAGTCATCAAACTGAATCATGGTTTTCTGAAAACCCTTTGACAACCCATGCCCGGCTTCGCCCTTGTTGGGTCGCAGTCGCCGAGCTACCGTCAACTTTTTGTTCCACTTGAAGCTAACTTGTAGACGATTCGCGGAGATCATAAGCGCTACAACTAAATCAGTTCGCAGATGAGTGTATTTTGCTAATGGCGTACAACTCAGATTCAAGCAGAGCATAACGTTGACAGAAACTCGGATGCCGCTCCTACTTGATGATCCTCAAGAAGGGCGAAACCATTAGTGTACTGTCGAAGTGATTTCAGCAGCCTTGTGAGTAGTGTTCTGTCAAGAGAATACTCGAATGCTGTACCAACTGAAACGTTAGATGGCCTCTGCACAGTTAAATGGTATCACAAATGGGGGTTTGGTATTCGACTGGGTTCCCCGTTGAAACCTATTTATTTTGAAAATGAATGTAATTCGTGAATCATAGACCTTTTTGCTACTTTTTCTCAGCCGTTCATCGTCGCTCCTTTGTTGTTTCTTCTGCTGTGTCTCAGTTCATCTATACCAATGTCTACGGAGTTTTGGGAAACCTGTTTTGTGATTTCGGCCCTCAGTTCAACGTCTATGACCCGGATGGTGAGCCCCCAAAGGAATTTTTCATTGGTCATATGGGGAAGGTGAGTTGTGCTCAGTTGTGGAAAGTTTAGTTTGATCCACTAACCACTCATATAGTAGTTTCATCCGTTTTGTTCGCCGAAATATGTGCTCAAACCTAATGTGTTCTTAATATAGTTCTTCTTTGGGTTATCAGAAAAGTTTCCTGTACGAGTACTGCTCGGTCGTATACACACGGACAGTGCCATATTCACTCACGCGTTGTTGGAATCTTTCGTCAAGCAGATCAATAGACCAACCTGCGCGTTGTGGACATGACACGAGAAGGATAATAGTACCTGCTGTTGGCATGCAAGAAGCGGAAAGTTCGAGTGTTACGCGGGGTGCAATTAGCAGTTTATCATGCAGATGACTGCGTTTTGCTTCATCTCATCGGTTTCATGTCTAGTCATGTTATGGCAGCTAAGTGGCACGACTATTGGATATCGGTCCGCTTTGGTATTTCCTCAGAACGGTGTGTTGAATGCACAAGCCCCAAATTTGCGGCAGACCTCTAGTGAATGAGTTTGACAAAGCAAATGATCCATTCAAATCCACGCACGAACTGTAAACCAGATTTATTCAGGTGCCTGTAGTTGAATCAGCCATCCGGTCTTCTCCACGTTAGTGAATTTCCTTCTTTTTAGTCTACTTCGAAGGTAACAGTAGTATGAAGTAAGAATGATTTTTGTGGACACGGTGGCTTTAACGTCCTTTTTGTCACTAAATTTTGTTCGAATTTCAGTCACGTAAAACCGGGCTAGGAGTGATAAATGGACCTTTCCAAACGTTTCTCAATCCACCCACCCGAATCCTTTCTACCCACCCAAGTTCTATTTTCAATTTGCTACATACTGGGAAAACGAGTATCCGTTGTGATCGTGTTTTGTACAAGTTAGTTCTGCTGAGGTTGAAAGCGGATTTACTTTTTCAGTCATAATCCTACTCCGCAATGGAGACCATTCTGAAGATAGTTGGTCCATAACCACGTTCTCCGTGAGCTACGACAGTCCTTCCCAGAAGAGACTTGATGATTTCGAGTAGAGCATAAGGTTGACGGAAAACTCGGGGACTGCGCCTACCTGATGAGCCCCAAAAAGGGCGAAACAAGCCGTGCGCCGTCGAAGAATTTTCAGCAACCTTATGAGTAGTGAATTGCGTCTATACTCGATGGCTCCTTTCGGTAGAGAATTACTCTACCAAGGTTTTCGCCTCTAGTATCTGAGTTCCTTTCTCCAACGATGTTGGAAGAACAACCATACAGGTTATGACCTTCATGGTTCGTTGGCGATTCGTAGACTAAGTGCCAATTTGTCGCTTTTGTTCCTGACGTGGCCGGACAGAGGGGCTACAGTCCTCTGATATGCTCATTCAATTTACTATCCTGCATGACTAAGTTTTGTCCGTTCGTTGGAAAACAATCCGACATAGCACAGCATTACTGAGAATCCTATCTCATGGATGCGATTGGCCAAACACTAGGATCTGATGGAATCATACATTTCAAGACAAGGCGAGCTGTGTTCGGCTCTGTCGCCGTGTAACTAGATATCTTCGGTGGCTCCTGTTTAGTTTGGGTTTAGTTCTTCCCAAACATCAGTAAGTGTTTCCCGTGAAAACTCTTTTGAGTGGTTGTGAGCAGTTGTGCAATCTTCTGTGTTTGTATTCACGGTGCTCGTTTGAACAATGATTATCCTATCCCGATACAATTATCTCGGTCAGCTGTCGCGCCAACCTGTGGAATTGCTTGATCACTAGCCTGTTCGCTTGATCTGGCGAATTGATAGCTGCGCGCCTGTTTAGATCGTTAGGTCAAGGGCATGCACTGCTGGTTGGCTCTAATACAAACGGTTCTGAACCAGAGTTTTCAAATGATCAACTTCCGTAATGCGTCGTTCCTAAAACGAAGCCTCTGTGTGAGCATTGGTTTGACGTCAGTGTTCTGTGTTCTCTGATGGACAGAGGCCGTGTCGACGGAACGATTCGAAGTGGCCGACTAGCTCCCCTCTAAAGGGGGGAATACCCCCCGTACATTATGTGACTACCTCTTCGCCAAATGACTTGTTTCTGAAACCATTGCACAGTCGTTTCACATTGCCATAGTGGAGCTTTTTTGGGACTCTGAGCCTCACTCAGCCTGATAATGTTGCCTTCCCACTCATATCGCATTTCGCCCTAGCTCAATTCAACACAGCTCTTGATCAAGGTTTTTGGGGACAGACGGCATTATCTGGAAACCGGGAATGTGATACAATTCCGCGATCTGGAAGGAATGACCGAGCTCAACGGACAAGTCTTCCCTGTTCAAGGTGAGTGTGGTTTGTGTGTGAGCGCTGACGCTCCAATGCTCTGTCGACTTTTGAACAGTGCGCTGTAACCAACCAGTACCCTCCGTCGCCATGAGACTGGACCCAGTCGTCCTGTGACGGTTTCCGTGTCTCGCTAACCCAGGTCTGACTAACAAAGTCTATTGACTCTCCAGTTTAGGGTGAAACAAGTGTGACAATTTATTCCTTAAAATTTAGACTACTCAAGTAGTATCATGCCATCCACCGCTGACTTGCGGTCAGGCTTTTGAGCCAGAGACTTTGGTTGGGACCCTAATCCTTCTGCTTAGATTTGGACGCTAGTTTGCAACCGCGAACCTTACAGATAAAACCGTATTCATGTCATATCTGTTTCGTACTCAAGTAGTATCATGCCATCCACCGCTGACTTGCGGTCAGGCTTTTGAGCCAGAGACTTTAGTTGGGACCCTAATCCTTCTGTTTAGATTTGGACGCTAGTTTGGAACCGCGAACCCTACAGATAAAACCGTATTCATGTCATATGTGTTTCAATGTGCTGATGTCATCCAGTTGGACGTGTCCACAGCATTGAGCAGAGCGGGTAACCCTCCTTTTGTTCTTCGTTGTACGTTGGCACCTATGAATTCGACACACTGCTCGCCACCGCCCACATCTACCACTCCGCACCCGCTACTCAGGCCTCATACTTCTTGAAACTCTCTCTTTCAGCTGTAGCACCCTTCCGGTGCCTAGCTGCCATGCCACCCGAAGGAAGCAGGAGGGCTGGGGTACTTCCAGGTAGCCCAAGCCTAGACAGGGCAAGTCAAGAGGTAGAGGTCGGGTTCGAACTACGAAACTTCCGGTCAGTAAATTCGCGCTCTAACCACTTGGGCCATCTTGTGATGTGGATTTATAGGTATATTTGCCCCGGGACAGAAGGGGGACTGTTCAAATGGGAGTGGTATGACTTTAAATTCTACACATTCCACAGATCATCATTAGTACCTATCTCGCAACCTCGCGGTTAGTGGTTCGAATGCTTGACCGTTCGGCTGGTCACTTTAACGGGGTATAGCGTCAGTTGTTCTTCATTCGCGGAACCCCCACCACGTGGTTACGTGTTGATTGGTTTGTCGAGTGAAAACCCCTCAAGCGGAGGGCAATTTAATTGTAAACGAGGTGACGTCATCAACGCGCTGTTGAGGTCAGATCGTAGCAGCACTGATGCTGTCACGTTATTGGTTATTGGTCATTTGAAACCAAGCTGCCCAGTCCAGCAAGCAAACCAACGACCAAGTAGGTACTGTGTTCAAACTGGGTGCGAATTGAGGTGGCTCAGTGGTTAAGGCGCAAACTTATTGACCGGAAGGTTCGAAACTCGAACCCGATTCCTGCATCTCGGATGCTCCGGGCACTATGTCACCTGTCGTGCTTCCTTCGAGTGGCATGGCAGCTATACATCGAAATGGTGTTACAGCTAAGGGATTATTGTTTTTAATCGATGACTCTGGTCATCATCACGTGGAAGAATTCCAACATTTAGGCCAGTTTTTTTATTCACCGGCATGATTGCCCGGTCATCACGTGGAAGAATTCCAACATTTAGGCATGATTCCCCGTCTGAATTGCGCTCGACCGCGGAGTTGTGACCACCGCCTGATATGCGCATATAAGTTTATCGGCGAATTTATGTCTACCTGTTTGTCTTAACTGTTAATGCTGATAACGGTAATTATGAATATAGTGAATAATGCATACTACTAATAAATACTACTAATAATGAATAAGATCAAGCACCACACTGTGCCAAAGAATGTGAGACGGTGAATGGCAAGCAGACTGGTTTTAAAACCACGGGAAAAGTCCCCGAGTGTTAGCTCCATTCAACTGGATTCGACAAACAATGTACCTTTAGTTTCATCGTAGCATCCCATATTGATTGCCAGGTTTCTATTCTGAGTGGATCACACGGGCAACCGAGCGTACCTTTCGGTGTAGTCGTTACCCTCGAATAGAGACCTAATTCTCCCCAAGAAGCTACTATTTTTGAGGGGGCTTCACGGGCGGTCCCTATTTGCGCATGTATTCCTCGTTAATTTCTTCGTTCGGTCCTCTGCCTAACTAACATTGTCGCCTCTAAAATCTCTGCATAATTTTATCGCGAACAGAAGGTTCTTGATCTGCTTCTGACAGCTACGAATGTTGCAATTCAACCGTTGTTTGCCTTCTTCCCCTTGAACAATCAGTTATCTCTCCTTCTGAGCTGGTCATTTACACCGTAACTGAACATCTGTCCGGCTACACTGGAGGTGGAATCGCATGCCAGGTGATCCAACCACAGATGCAGTCCTTTGTAAGTCTTCCTTGTGTCTCCCGCTTTTTTGTTGCTAATCAATCGATCATTCGACTCGGTCGGGTCTTGTGTACTGCGATACACTAATCGAGAACGAGTTGGATCTCGAACGGCTCCTTTTGTTGCGAGTGACCGTATGTCATCGACTGCTTGTAGGATGTCCCTGTGGTTGCGGAACAGTGGGAGATCGCGTATTCAGTTGTGCTGCAAATGAGCATCGCGTACCAAGCCACGCTTGTTACATACTCCCTACCATTTATTGGTCGTCTCCAGCAATCATTTAGGCGCGCAGAACTCCAAGAGTGGTTTACATGCAGTTCAAAACAACAAAAGGATTGTATGCACAAAACGAAAACCAACAAAAAACGGGAAACAGTGTTGTACATACTGAGAACAGAAGAGAAAAAACACGGATACTTTGGCAGCTACGCTTTTGTGCCTCCGTCCACCTACCGGCCGCCCAGAGCCTAGAGACTGGGGGTTGTTGCACGAAATACATCCATGCTACTGATGACTTTGATAGTAGTTTGGACTAATAGGCAAAATAAGCGATATCCCATTGGCCTGTGTGCCATTCCCCGAGAAAAATTCCGGGACGAGTTGCTCACGGTACGTTAGCAACTTTTTCAATTGAAAGGCAGTGATCCCTCCCCCACCAGTTCACTTTGGAATTCCAGGAATCCACCATTTCTTGTAAGGACGCTTGCAGGGACAATACAAGTCATGAATCGGGGAAGGCAGCGTGGTTGAAATTAGTTTGTTGGTGTCTCATGGTTATCCCTACATAGCGGAACAGTATCTGGCATTTCACCGCCACAGTGGGCGCCTCTCTTCAGTCTCCTAACTCTGACCACTTGATGTCAAGGGAACTATTCAAAGACTGCAGTCATCCAGTCACTCGACAGCTGCATTCCAGCAACACAGGTCCTAAAATGTCCAGGTGCGTCTGTTATCATCCGACGGGTATGGAAATGAGATCTCATTGCTAGTCGTCTCTTACCTGTCGATCGTCCTCCAGCGCGCTTCTCAAGTGACCTTCATTTGATATTGACCAACCGTAACGTGGCAGGTCGACGTAGTACGCCGAAAGGCAAGGGCACGCAGGGTTAACTCAGAAACTGTGGGCACGATGCACGGATAGAAGGGTGGCACAACCGCGGCCCAGAAGCAATTGTATTCGACACAACCAAAACCGAAATCGATGTGCACAAAGGTCAAACAACATGATATGAAAACAGTCAATTCAGACAATGGGTTTGGTCGGGTCTCCCTCCGAAAGAGGATTGAGATACCTCGGACCTGCAACGTAAGATAAAACTAGTAAAGCTATGCCCAATTTTGGTGGCGTTACATCACACACCCCTACGCAGACGGGACACTGTCCCCAGTGTCCCGTGGCACTGTGCCACCTTCTGGAGAAAACTCTTTTGTCTTTGTAATGTACTACTCATAAGGTTGCTGAAAATCCGTCGACAGCCCACGACCAGTTTCGCCCTTCTTGGAGCTCATCAGGTACCCGCAGTCCCCGAGTTTCCATTAATCTTATGTTCTACTTAAAACAAAATTGCACGAAATTAGCGAATATACACTCATTTGCAAACTAGTTTGGTTTTTCGAGGGACTCACATGGAACCCAGCTGAATCTCTCGTTTGTGATGTTCTCAGGCAATTTCTGGTTTGGCTACCTGTTCACACATGTCGGTGTACGTTGGTGTGTGTGTGTGTGTGCGTGCCTGGTGTTGGCTTGAGTTGATTCGAATGGACTGCAAGTCTATTGCCTGAGGGTTTCAATGGATCTCGTAACACAAAAGTTACACGTAATGCCTTGTACACTATAGTCCCTGTGGTCCATGCCAGTGGTGGTAGAATCTCGCTGCTATGCCTGCTGGGCGGTTTAGGTCGATGCAAGAACGCATAATCTCCGACTCGATATACACGCGCCAAATGTTCGGCGATCATAACAGGTTTTTCGATGCTGTCGTGAATTACGTATGTTCTCATTTGCAACACGAAATGCTCTTATTAACCGTTTCTTCAGTTCTCGGCTGTGGTCATTCAAGTTCATCGCCCGCAACTGGACATTTACTGGGAAACGGAACTCGTGCCCATATTGAAGTTGTGCAGGGGGGACCGGTCCAATCATGGATGGATGCGCAATACGCCGTCGGTCGATATTCGTCCCACCTGTCTGATATAAGCAGCTAGTAGCATACGTCTTATTGTTCTGTTCGTGCGTTCTACTTACCCCTTTCCCTTCGGGGTGATAGGGCTTTTATGTGCGAGTCTTGTCGATGGTAAGAAGCGCACAGAGGTCACTCATAAGACGAGTTTTAAAGGGTGAGCCACGGTTGAGGAATGTCAGGCATTCCGTGATGACTGATCCATTCGTTCAGTACACCAGCTACACCTATCGATTGAGCATCCTGTTGCTCTGGTGGGAGGATGGCTCCACACCACTGGGTAAAATAATCAACCATTACCAATACATAACGGTTACCCGTCCTTTTAGTGGCAAGTAGACCAGTTTTATCCATACCAACACGATGATTTTAGGTACTTCCGATGCTAGCTTAATAAGTCAACTGAAACATGAGGCGGCCTGTGTGCAGCACACTCTGTTGTAGAATATCATAAGCGAGAGATTCAATTGAGTCTCCCGTGAAAGCCAAATTGATTTGCAAATGAGTGTATTTCTCGAAAACAGTCCAATTTGGGTTCAAGTAGACCATAAGGTTGACGGAACCTCGGGGACTGCGTCTGCCTGATGAGCCCCAAGAAGGGCTAAACCGGTCGTGGTCTGTCGAAGAGGTTTAAGCAACCTTGTGAGTAGTTTCCCCCATGTTAATAAATCTAACGTTTTGTATAAGCTCGTCACTCAGCGTCACCGATCTTGGACCGACTTCCTTTCCTACGTTTCCCGAGGAAAAATACGGTGTTTTAGATCAAGCATAGTGATCACAAAAGTAGGGAGAACAGAATTTTTAGTTCCCCCATTCATCAATCTTCATTTCCTGTCCATTGTCTTCTTGCTGCTTGCTTCAACACATCACGTGATCGAGCTGCTCAGTGTATCCGATTCCCTCTGGGCGTGTCCTTGTTGTGCTGATGCTGGTGTTGTCTCTGTTAAACTCCCCACAATCACAACCACCATTGTGTTGTCCACTACTCCGATTACCCATCTATTGCTGCTGATGACTGCATACACACGTTGCGTGACATTGCCTTGTTTCGTTTCGCCTCGTCGTCGCAGTCAGCCTCTTCGCCCTGATTGTGAGACTCTGGTCACGTGCTGTCCGGTACGTATCATCACTCAGATCCCTAATGGTTCCAGTTTGTCACTGGGACAGATCATCACTCATTGTCGACCACAACAGCAGCTCAATTTGGGTCGGGATTATCTCCATTTGATAGCATCGGTTGTTGACGGTTCGTACAGTTATAGGCACACTTTGTGCGGCCTTTTTCTTGGACAACCTCTGGTGGTGAGTTGTTTTTCGCGAAGAAAATCTACTTCCAACTGATCGGTAGCCAATTAACCCACCGGAGCTACTAATACCTAGGTACATTGCCAAAACCTTCCAACAGACTTCAAATAGGAGGTTCTGGGTGTACGATAATCATCAAAAATCTATGCTGCCGTCAGTCACCTGTGTGAAAATGGAGCGAACACTCTTTTAGGGGCTGGATTCTTCACTAATTGTCCTCTGCAGCCTTGACATGTCAAAAAAAAACATACAGCTGTGGCTTCTTAATGCACTACTCATAAGGTTGCTGAAAATGCCTCGAAAGCCCACAACCGGTTTCGCCCTTCTCGAGGCTCATCAGGTTGGCCCATTCCCCGAGATTCCGTAAACCTTATGTTCTACTTCAAACCGAATTGCACCAAATTAGCGAATATACACTGATCTGCAAACTAAT